AAATAATAATTTGATCTAAGTAAGAGTTCTCTTTTCTTCCCGATTTGTAAAAAGTCCTTACGTGATAGAAAAAAATTAATATTGTTTTCGAAATCTGCGTAGCTAAATTATGGAAAATCCGTTATTAAAACCAAATCAACTTTTTATGAAGTTTACATTCGCAGGCCTGTGTAATTAATGTCAATACTTTGAACATAATATTGTATAATTTCGGAATGTTAAAACAAATCACTAAAAAAAATAATATGGTAACGTAGTGTACAGGGTGATCCAAAAAAGGTATCCACATTTCGAATATAATACAAGATGAAGCACCACATTCATTGAAATTATAAAGTTTTTTGTTTGTTTTTAGCTTCTACGTCTACATTTTTCTCTTTCAGTGAAGAAAAGTTGTTATCTCTGTACAAAGAGCTCCAGACAACTGAACGTCCACACTTAGTGAAGTACTTCGAAACGGTGATTGGAGATTTACTTGAAAATGTCAGAAAACTTCAGGAAGAGAATGAACAATTAGAGAGTTCCTGGAAAAGGTAAAAAATCTGATTATATTCAGTTTGTTTCAGAATTTCGCAACTAATATCCACTGCCGCATGATTAAGTATGATTAACTCAGTATGAAAGAAACAAAATCTAAGTCTAAATTTCTTGAAATTTTCAAAATCACAAGTTCACTAGAGAAGTTAACTAAGGGGAAAATATAATGAGGATGACATCTACTGTGTGTGTGTGTGTGTGTTTTCCTTAAATTTCTCCAATAAAACCCATAACAAATTACGATGTACAAGCTTTTCATATTGGAATTTAATGAAGCATAAATGAGGAATAAATTTGTAAAAGTTAGGTGGATTTTAAGTATTACATCTAAATTTACAAAGAAGCGGAAATAAAAAATAATAATTATTAATTTGGTCATACGTGTGTATTAAACCAAAAATGTTTTTTATGATTTTAAACTTATATCAAAGATATAAATCTTTGTTGTTTAAATAATCTTTGTTAAAAATATTGTCTTATATAACACGTTAAATTATAGATCCTCATGGTCCAGAAACTTTAGGGCACGTAATGGTTTTTACATTGTTATGGTAGTTATATTTCGATAACACGATTAGCTTGTATGAAATACACTTGTATGGATAAAATACTTCAGTCTCAAGCTGTTTTGCTTTATGAAGAATTAAAAACTTAGTTCTGAAAATATACTGTCATAATTCAGGGAGAAAAAAGAACACGAGCGACATCTACACAGATTAGAAGAGGAACTCGATAATCAAGTAAAAGATGTTGAGCTTCAGGCAAAGAAACAGGTAATGAATTAAAAACAAATACTCATTTTGGAAGTGTTTTCTGTGACTTCGTTGCTGGTATATTGTTCTTGAATAAATATGTTATGTGTCGTTTACAATACATTCCCATGCAAAATGTCAATAGTAATATGTTTTTTTGTTTTTTTTTTGTGCCAACGTAGTGTAGAGGGTGGCCCAAAAAATGGGCTTTCATGTAAAATATCCTCAGAAAGTTTGTGCAAAATTTTTGAAGAATACTGAATTCGGGGTTTTATCTTTCGTAATGAGAAGAACTATTATTAAGAACAACAATATTGTATTAGTTTTCTAAGAAACATCTTATTAATACAGGAAATATTAATGTACTGCTAAGTGGTGTATCAACACTTGAATTGTAGCTTTACATTAGGACCGTGCTGCTAATCAGGAGTTCTTAAGCTCGGTTCTGCACTATACCTTTGACCTGAGCAAGTACAGCACTTTCAGGTGTGGGTACGTTATAAATGTTAATGTTAATATCACTATTCGGTTAAAAATAGGCGGCGGGTGCTGTTTGTTATTTTCCCTCTAGTTACCTGACTGAACTTTGGGGTTTCTGATCTGGCCATTTAGCCCATGTTTCTGAGATGTTGTAATGATAACTACTTAACAAGGAATTTATTTTTTTCTTAGTTGTATGTTTATATTCGACTTCTAGTCGTTTCTAGAAGTACTTTTAACAATGATATACCCTATATGTTTTAAAGACGATGGTTTACCCTGTGATAGAGGTCTGGATGTAGTCCCTGCAATACCATAAAATATTCTCTATAATTTAACTTGTGGATGCGTTAAAAAGAGTGCCAGTCAATCCTTTAACATAGATGATGGGCGGTAGGGTGCTAATGACTGGCTGTCTTCCCTCTAGTCAGTAGTTCAAAACTGGACTGCGGTAGATACCCCAAGTAGCTTTGCCATAACTACAAAATACAAATACCGTATTTTAAAAATAAATAAAGTCACTCAAATCATTTTGAAATATACTCATTACAGTTTATTTGTTTTGTTTCATCGCCGGTGAATGAAATCTAAATAACTATATAACTAAACCTTTACTATATTAGCTACAACTCAAGTAGTTTCTTGATAACATTTTGTCTGGAACATTCTCGTAACAAATACGTATGCATATTTCGTGCGTGTCTACTTCATTGAAGTACATTGATATAATCTATATAACAAAATTAGAAAGAAGCTGAACGACTACTTAAAAACTTCGACTTGTATGTACAAGTCGAATACAGAAAAAAATGCTAATATAGAAAACATTAACCAAGTCACATATCAATGACTGTTTTATCTTTGTATATATATATATATATATATTTGTTTTCTATAACGATCTCGTAAAACCCAATAAATATGTTTTCGTAACAGGCTCAAGCAGAAGTGGAAGCTGAACGTCGCTCATTGAAACTGAAGATGGATGCCGAAATGGACGAGCTCCACGCGCACCTGTCTTTGTTTGAAAAGGTGTGATAAAGCTCTTGTGTTTCAGTGATAATAATTTCGAAACCTTTTGTTTCTTCAGAACTTACGAGTTTAATCAAAGAGTATATATGTTAGTACTAAGTTCGAAATCGCTCAGTGACCGAACGTTTTTATTAAAGAGCGCGATGGTAAAATAAAACAAATATTTCGGCCGCTTACATATTTCGAACTTTAAAGCTGTTTTTTTCTCTTTTCTTTTTTTCGGCACAAAGCTATCTAAAATTATATCTGCGTTCTGTTCACCGCGGTGAGGGTTGGGATCCCCGTCACACCAAACATGTTCGCCCTTTTAGCCGTGGGGGCGTTATATTGTGACGGTCAATACCACTATTCGTTGGTAAAAGAGTAGCCCAAGAGTTGGCGGTGGGTGGTGATGACTAGCTGCCTTCCCTCTAGTCTTACACTGCTAAAGTAGGGACGGATAGCGCAGATAGCCTTCGTGTAGCTTTGCGCGAAATTAAAAAAAACAACAACAAACTTCACCGCGGCGAATCAAACAAACCCTGCAGTTTAATCCGTAAATTTACTACTGACCCGCCAGGGGGGGTGACTTCATTGCTAATATACATGTATGTATATATTGTCTTTATGTACAATGGTCAAAACCCGAGTCGTCACATATCTTTCATCCCATCTGAAAACTGGGAACACGGTACGATTAACAGATTGGAATTTATATTTTTTCTAAAGTTTTTTGTATTCAATAAATCATTTTGAATAAAAAAAAATAAAGGAGGGAAACTCCTTGCAATATAAATATTTCTAGTTATTCCGGCCTTGATTAACAATGCTACACGTGATATCAAACCTATGACTGTAATATGCAGGTTTAAAAAAAAACATTTTGAAATATTAGAAACTGGAGATTACAAACAATTGAACGCTGCAGTAAGTAAATCCTTATGACAGAATTGATTAATATCCACTCAGCAAAGATTTGTTAGGTTGTCGATCTTTGAAACAAATCAAGTCAATGCTTCATAAAACCATTAGTTTCTCATAAAGTTTTTCAATTATTTTTTGCTGTTTTGTTTTCTATATTGAATTTAGTTTATTCATGTTAATGCATATTTGCTATCATAATTACTTGAATTTTCACCAGGTGGATTCATGGCTGAAATCTAGCCAAGATCCTATTAAAGAAGGCAAACTATCAGAAATCCGTACCAAGCTCGAAGATTCTGTACACGAAAATCGTCAACTTCGAATGTCCTTAATGGACACTCAAACCAGCGTGGCCTTAATGAGGAGCGAAATTGCGCAATTGAGGAGTCAATATGAAGAGAAATGTCGCGAATTAATCAGGTGCAATAAATCAATTTTTAACAACTCAAATCGTTTTCCATTGCTATAAAATTTAACACGTAGTTTACTAGTTTCAGTTTTTTAAATTTCATTTATCTTAACGTTAGCTGATTTTAGTGGATTAAATCTTAAACAAAATTCAAACAACATACGAATCTAAAATGCCGTTAAAGTTTTGTTCAGAAGACACATCTTAATTCAAATTTAAGGCTATTTTAAAATACAGGTGTTTTGTAACATTTCCATCTTAAGATTAATGTTGATTTAAAGTGTTTTTTATGAAGCTTCTTCACTAATAACATCACATTACATAACTAAAGATACTTATACGGCGCAAAAGTTTTAATATTAACGATTATTTACTGTGTGCATTTAAATGTCGAACATAACAACATAATGCGTTTTGTTTGTACAACATCCTGATAATTGTTTGAGATGATTGTTTTAAATAGATAATTCTTTATTTACCAATATTTCCACGCAGTGAAAGAGAGCGAGTTTTGGATATTTTACACGAACATGATCAGCTTAGCAGACAGCTTCACCTTCTACAGTAAGTACAACATTAGGAAGTTTCATGATAAATCAGTAATATCGCAATGGACCAAGAACAAATAATTATGTGAAATTACTTTTAAATAAATACTTTAATTTAAAGTAATGATTAACTCCAATCTCATATTGTTCAATTTCTGGCTTTTCTTGTTTTTAAGCACAAACTCCACCATGGGCTATCAGTGATGTGCCCATCACAAGAATCGAACTCTAAATTTCAAAGTTATTAGCTGTTAGGATAAAGAGGGCAACACTGTTCAATGTAACGTTAATCTTCCCAATCTAACAAATTGGGCTTTGTACTAAATCGCGTATCTTATTTCAGTTACTGAACTTTAAGTTACAGAGATTTAAATTTATTGTTTGCTTAATTTTTCTTGTAATTAGAAAATTTAACAATAGGTGAGATTTTGTAATTTTTAATACTTTTGTATGAAACTCTTGGCTCCAAAAAAAATTTAACCTGGAAATAAAGAACAACACAGATAAAGTATTCAAATTATTTTCATTATATGAAATTTTAGCATGATTAATGTAAATTTGGAATTGGCTATTTATTTTTTTAATGTATACATCGTTTTAACTGAATGACATCATGAAATTAAGACAATAAAGAAGTTACTACTACATCTTTGTAGGAATGAGATTAGATTTTCAGTGTAAGATTAATTTTTTAAACAGTCGCAGTTTTGCTAAGAGTTAAAACGTCTTCTATATTTCCTCCTGACAGTGACGCTAACAAGAGGCTTCAAGATACCAACGACAACTTAAGGGAGGTTGTAGATGTTGAAACGTATAACAAAGTAAGTGTTATAGCTCGATTCTTGCTGTTCTTGTACAGGATATCAACAACAACTTAAAGAAGGTTGTTGATGACGAAGCAAATTCATATCACAAAATTAGTGTTACAGTTGAGTTCTTACTCATGTTGTAGTGCACGTGCACCTAATAAAACTGCCAGTGTCTTGGAGTACTCGCATGTTTTCGTCATGGAGTTTAGTATATTATTTACAACCTAAACCCTTCATTATAATGAAATAATTAAATCCCTGATGCCAATTTCTCTAGAGAAAACATTACTTACTTTTCCCTTTGTATCGTTATTAATTGGTGGCTTAGCAATGAGATATGTTAACTTTATACTTGATAATTATTTAATTAAGGGAACTAAGGACAAGTTACAATAAACCACGCTTCGGGACCTTACTAAAGTGTGTTTCTTTTGAGCTTAGACTTTGAGACAGTAAATCCAAGACACTGGATAGAAAATGTATTTCATATAGACATAAAATATAAAAAATTTTATTTCTAAAATAAAGGACCCCCCCCCCCCACATAATTTATCTATAAAAGCTAGAAGCACACTACGCTTAGCTCCAACTTTAATCTCTAAAGAAGGTAACTGATGCTGATGATTACAAAATGTTTTTATTAATTAATCGAATGACTTTTATCTTTGTATCAAAATATTAGGAATGTTGCTTTTCATTTAGATTTATTAATATTTAAGATTAATTAGCTTAAGATATTCAATGTTACCTCGCACTTCCACTACCCGGAAGTTCTTTCTTCATTTAAAGGTTAGTTTAACTTTTAATTGTAGCAGTAGTTTCCACCCGAAATGAATAAAATAACACTAAAATAAGTCAGTTAAAATGGCAATTAGTAGATTTTTTGAAATTCTACCACCGAAGATTTCCAATACACTAATGGAAATTGAAAGATATCATAGAAGAACCCCTGTTCTCTACTTAGTCGGTACAAAGTCTAGACGTAGTTTTTTACACCACAGATCTAGCACTGAACCTTGAAACTAAGTTTTTAAACCTTAAGCCTATCAGTAGTAAATAAGGTAATTACTCTGGTTCTTGATCTCGAGCATGAAAAACTGAAACGTAAATTACCATGTTGTATGTTTGTGAATTTGTTGTTCGCGAACTCTTCCCATCATTTCCGAGTAAGCAGGTCCAAACTTGGCAGATGGACTCAGGGTGGCCCGGGGGTGTCCTTATCTATATGACGTAGCCACCTCCCGAGGGGGGGCTAATACGCGCCGGAAAGGTCATCCAGGTGTGATAAGTGTTTAGGAGTAGATTTTCAGTGTTACTGGATCCGAATCTGACATCGGAATTTGTGTTCTTGGCTTCATCCGGGATCCTGAGGATGCCTTGTTTGAAACTGTGTTCATACCCGTTCACAAGAGATCGGGCACCCAAACTTAGCATAATTGTTCAGGTACCACGGGCGAGTGTCCTAACATGATTTTTTCTTTTTTTCAGATTAGACCCTTAGGGGTAGCTATGGAAATTATTGAGGATAATTGTTGAGCTTAAGCGGGTACGCTGAGGCTTCTGTGAATCATAAGGGAGTATTTTAACCCGCAGAGGAGTGCGGGTATTTTATGCTAGTTTAAATAAAAGGAACAAAGGTTTACCTAACAAACTGTCAACTGCGTTTTTCAAAGTCGTAGGCAAAAACATTTAATTGCAGACTATGGTTTTGGGTAACCTGTATTTGTTCGTTTTCATTGTGTTTTATCTGTATGCACTGTAGTGACATGTGGATTACTTATTTTAATAAATGATATAGATTAATGAAAAAAATTGGTTAAATACGTAAAAATGGTTGTTAAAAATAGTTAAAAGGACATATAATCTCAGAATAAAAACTCGTAGAAGATAAGAACATAATGTAATGTAGAATAATAAATACAGAGTAAAATAAATATGTTTACTTAATATTTATTAAGAACTCAGGTGATAAACAAATGTAACGTAGGAAATAAATTTTAAAACACAACACAATCCATTATTTTTATAGATTTGTCTAATTTTGAATAGGATAAGGTGATAGGTTAAAGACAGTATTTGGGTTATATCGCTTTGGTGGTGATTAAGTGTAATTCTAGTTTTATATGACTTTTAGTCTTTCTTATATATCCAGTGTTTTGTTGAATTTATCTGAAGCTTGAGTCAGGTCTCAAGGAAAATTATAATATATAAGGGTAAGTCAGTAAAAGGTATAGTAAAGGTATAGTTTGGAAAAATATGGCTAGTTTAACTGGTGATACTGTTTTGTTATGGTGTGAACGCCTTTTACAAGGTGGCGAAGCATGATTATAATTAATTTGACGAGGCCAGTATTTCTAAATGCCCATAATTTCTTCAATATGCTTCTATTTTTATACGTATCTTTTTAAAATGCATTTTGAATCATCACTTCACAGTCTTTAAACGTGATCCACCAACAGGTTTTGTTATATTAATCTAGTTAAGCAATATACGACTGCTTCTTGTGGCTGAAATGAGCAATTCATTTAGTATTTTACGATATTTTGTTCTCTGTGTGTCATTTAAACTCACTGTCTGTATTACATAAATATCGACATTACAATAACTTTTGGTTATTATTTTCCATGTCCATTTTACTATTTCTCATCTTACGGAACACCATACATGATCCGATCCCACGTGATTTGAGTGATGTATGCGTAGAATATAGTCCTAAAAGCAATAATCTGAACTTTATTTTTATTACTACTTTGCTTAGAAAGCATCTCACACCAGACTTGATAAAAGGGGATCAATCATTGGTGATTACCTATGTGCTGAAGCGTCTCCTATTGGATTTCTTAAAACGAAACAGTAAGTTCTGTAATTTGTGTCCTTTCTTATATTCGTGCTCAAACGATTTGAAACTAATTATAGGTAGTTTAATATTCTGCGTGGTTTTAATTAGATTTGTTTAAATACAATCGAAAGGTGGAATTTTTATAACTGTTGTTTTTAAAAATGGCGTTAGAATATTTTTATTACTACAATGGAAATACCGATAAAACTCAATTTTATTGTTTTAAGATCGGCAATAGATATAGAAGAAGAAGAAGATTACGATTATTCTCTGACGGAAGATGTTGATAAGTATCGCCAGATGTCACTGACCTCTAGTGGTTTAGACAACGATATCACATACAAAATGGACAGTTTCGTTGATGACTTTGGTGAGTGTTTTAAAGGCCAAAGTTAACCTATGGTAAATACGAACGTACATATATTTTGTCGAAACTAATGGTTATGCTACGACATACCAAAAATATATTACGTGCTGTATGAATGTAAGCATTTATTTTAACAGTATTTGGAAACATGAGTCTGTCAACAGAAGATATAATTAAAATGATTTCGCTTGTTTTTTGAAGTTGTATAAACATGTCTTGCCATAAACTGGACTAAGAATCATGAAACCGAACAACAATGTTTAAATTATTTCTTATTTTCACAATTTATTCGTTATTAAATATTTTATTTGATACAGTAGAGGACGTATTATGTTTCAGTACTTTTGTTATAAGTTATAATAGTTTAACTTAGTTATTAGGCTTAAATTTCCTTTTTATAAGCGTCTGGCATAGCCAGCGTTGTTTTACCTAGAGTTTTTGGAAGAAAAATAGTTTTCGTTGTAATACTATCTTAACAACATATTGAGATTGAGACAAACTGTCTTAAAGGTTTTAAGGATCTAATTTCAATTCCAAAATTTTTTTTCGTGTTGTGATGACGGATTTGCTAAATAAAAATTTCTGTATCAAATAACTAGGCGTGCAATTTATTCTCTGATCTTCGCTGAAATCATTTCTGTACTGGAGAATAGCTCACGGGTTAGAAACCTTTTAGAGAACTATCGTGTAAAATCCTCTAAAAATACCCCTTTGTTGTGGGAGGTTGAAGTTTTACGATGAGCTTTAAACATGGTTTAACAACTCATGACATTAAAGTGCCAGACTTACTATCTAGGAGTGTTCAAAGTATTGCGTCTTGGTAAAACAACGATTTTTTTCACACGTATAAACGCACCTGTTTGTTTGTTTTAGCGTAGGACTATACACCACGAACTACCTGCACTCTGGCCACCACAGGAATCGAATTCCGAATTTTAGCGCTGTAAGTACGCAAGCTTACTGCTGACCAACTTGTGTACATAGACATATTTATGTACACTGCCATAACGAAGTGGGCTTGAGGCAGAAAACTTCTTCACAGCAGCTTGCGAGTTCGCAACTTACCACTCGCGAAATACCAAGAGAGTACAGGATCTCTTCTTTTTTATTGTGTAGGGATCACTGAGATGAAACTAGACAAAAACAAACACCAAACGAGAATTATAAAAAGTAACCAAATGAAGCCAGTGTTCATGAAATAAATGCTTACGGCCATTGAATATTTCGATTTTTAAAGCCAAATGTTATTGTATTTTTTATTTCTTGTTTGTATGTATTCGCAAGAGTAAGAATTTTGCCATTCACAGAAGTAAATAGGTTATATTTCAAAATGGTCGAACCAGCTGATGTTTGTTGCGTTGTTTTGAAACTTTTGTTGTAAATTTTGGTATTCATATCGCTCAGATAGCGGACTTTCAACACTACGAGATATTACCGAACCCGAGGCTACCAGTGACTACGTTGACGATGAAGAAAATGAGAACTTGAAAAAAATGTTGCAGTCACCTATGAGGAAACAATCGTCTACTTCCATTCAGACACAATCAAGCAGCCGAAAAAGTAGCCTTCAAGAGCGAAGACTTCCTTCAAAACTTAAAGTTAGCACAGACTGTCAGACTATGCTACAGTTTGATACTAAAGCAAAGGTAATTGTACAAAATTAACACAGACTGTCAGACCATGTTACAGTTTGATACTAAAATAAAGGTGATTATACAAACTAACACAGACTATGCTACAGTTTGATACTAAAATAAAGGTGATTATACAAACTAACACAGACTATGCTACAGTTTGATACTAAAATAAAGGTGATTATACAAAACTAACACAGACTATGCTATAGTTTGATACTAAAATAAAGGTGATTATACAAAACTAACATACACTATGCTACAGTTTGATACTAAAATAAAGGTGATTATACAAACTAACACAGACTATGCTACAGTTTG